CTATTGATTCTCAGACACTAGGCATGTACTAGTGAACAAATGAGATAAAAATCCCTGTTCAGTGAATAAACAATAAACAATAAACACAGTATGTGAATACATAGTTCATTAATAGTGATAAAGAAGTAAGGGGGAAAAGGAAGCAAAGAAAAGGGATAGAAACTGTCAAGGGGTCATTTCAGTGTGGGAATGAGAGGACAGGCCATGTGTCTCTGTGGAAATAGAATTTTCCAGACCTAAGAGCTTGAGGTAGGATTGAGTAAAGTGACTATTTTGATTGGAGTAGATAAATTAGAGGGTGAGTAATATGAGGTCAGGGAGATTGGAAGGCCCAAACATGTTGGCCTTATAGGTTATAGTAAGGACTTTGACTTTGACTTGGAGGGAGATGGGAAACCACTGGAAGTTTGGGAGCAGGAGATTTTAACAGGATCTGTGGCTTCAGGATTGGTAATAAATTGTGGGGGGTTAGGGCAGAAGTAGAGAGGTAGGACAATTCAGGCAAGATATGATGATAGTTTGGAATGGGACAGAACAGAGAAGGTATGGTGAATTTGGATGTGAAAGACAGACTAGATTTGCAGAACTCCATGGCAACTATTTCTGTATATTGAAATCCTATTAGAGTAGTATGATCATTCTTAAGTTATAGTTTGTAACTATAAATGATGATACTTAAATTGTGTTTAACAACCAATATGCATACATTTGTCAGATACTCATTATTTCTGAAGTGTGTACAGTTTTTCTAGCATCAGATTGCTTTTACTACAAAATGTTTAAAGGCATCTCTAAACATTAATGTTTACAAATATATCTTTATTTTATGTTAACTTTAAAATTTTCTAGTTAATTCTAAATATATTTTTCATTTTGATCATATTAAATTAGAAAGGACATTTTTTTTCCTCCCTTTTTGTAACACAAGGGATTGAACTCTGGGCCTAGTGCATGCTGGGCATCCACTCCACCACCCAAATATGTCTCTTGCCTTAAAGAAGGACATTTTAACATCCTTCCCTCTTACATGTCAGTTAGCCATGGTTTTTGAAAATATAGGACCTAAAGTTAGAGTTCTAAGAGAATCATCTTTTTCTTGGTTTTCTTCTGCTGAAATGAATGTGAAAATGTTTATAGTGTTAAAGGAGAAAAGCAAGATCAGTATTGTTTTATCACCTTGTAAATGTAATAATCATTTTTCATCATGTTATCTATTTGATAATTCAAGACTTTTATTTCTATATTGTTATTTTTCCACACCCATACACTTCATTCCAGAAAATTTTTTAGGTAGCTCATAAAATTGTTCTGAGATGGTTTTGCAAATATTTTTCGATATGTATATATGCAGCAGCCTGACATTCTTGATTACCACATAGATGTGTAGAATGTGGCTTATGTTGGCCTTTATAAGTCATACTACAAAACCTCCATAATTAGTGGTTATTTCATGAGGTGTGGTATTCCATCCTATCCCATTCCATGATTCACATTTTGCATATTTCATACAGAAGATACAGAAAGGGAAATAGAAATCATTTCTCCTAGAAATAGCTGATCATCTAATATATTTTGGTGCTTATATTTCTCTCTCTCTCTCTCTCTCTCTCTCTCTCTCTCTCTCTTTCTGTATATATATGAATGACATAGAAATTGATGGTATCTATTTTGTGTGTATGTAGAAAACCAAGTCACAGTCTGCTAACTTTAGCAAACTTCTTTCTTACATATAACATTGTGAGGTTTTCCCTGTCAGATACTGTTCTTCAATAATTTTCTTCAAGCATATGAATAATTTTCTACTCTTCTATGACATTTAGTCAGTTTCTTCTTATAGAATGTTTAAGGTGGTCCATTTTTACTATTGAAAACCACACTATGGTGAATTATTGTGGCCTTTTATTTGTATGTAAATATTTTAAATTCAGGGAATTTTGGCTTATATTTCTATGTATATGTATGTTCTATAGGTATAAAATCATGGAAAGTTCAGTTGAAAAGATGGAAGTTTTTTTTTTTTTCTTCTTCATATGCCATGGGACAGGTATACTGTTTGCCACATGCTTAGCACAGTGCTGACACATAATAGCTAATATTCACTGAACACTTAATGAAATACCAGACCCTGTGGTAAGTCCTTTGTGCTCATATTGATGATTTTAGTCTTTACTACAGTTATATAAAGTATGTATTGTTATTAACCTCATTATATTGACCCCAAAACCGAAGTTTTGAAAGGTTACATTTTTTTGCCCAGATATATACAGTTAATGACAAAATTAGAACTCAAACCCTGTTTGAGTCTGGCTAAGTTCATGCTGCCGCACCCCTCTAAACAGATGCAATAAATTCTAGCTAAATTTTTGTATGTTCAATAAATGCTAAGTGTCATCATCATTATTCCTACTGCACAGATGTATAACCCAGACATTGTTTTGGTTCCAGTATTTTTTGGATTTTGGAAAGATAATTTAGTTCATGTAATCATGTATGTTTTATGTAACATTCTCTTACAGTTTGGAGCAGTATTCCATTAGCAAATATATTCATGTTTCTTCAGTGAAGCATGTTTTTCTTTATATTAAATGAGATAAAAAGTAAAAGATATTAATAGCCTAATGTCACCACATGCTACCAAATGAGTTATGAAAAACTTTTAGAATTATGCTTAAGGGATTGTGGATTTATTTAAAAGTCTTAGTGTATGTGTAGCATTTCAACACTCCTTATGTTAGTGGGTACTGCTACTACCAGTGTTATCATTGATATTGCCTTTGGGTTCTTATTTACTCATATACATAGAAAACTGGTGAATTATGTAGGATTAAGAGTACTTTTTCTCAGGTCATGACACAAAGAGGGGAAGGTACCTAAGTGTTGGAACCTTCTGACCTTTCTTCCCTACATCTGAGTAAAGGGCTTATGTGATAGCCTTTCACATCTAGTTTTCTGACTTAACTATAGGCTTGTCTAGTTTAATGCTTCTGTCCTGTCCATGTGCACTCTCAATTGTGCAACATGGATTTCAGAGTCTATGGAATAGCTCACCTTGTGTTTTCACCCTTTCAGAGATTTTAGTAAGACAGTGCTATAAGTTTTTTCTTGCTTGTTATGTGTGAAGTGTGAACCTTTTGGGAGAACAATTTAACTGACCCATCATTTCTTCCAATAAGACCAGGTAGGACTAAAGACTCAAGTGATTGTATTTAAAATTGAAATACTTCCTCTTTTTCCCTCCCATCATCTCAATTGAAAAACTGATTATAGTCATCATACTTTTAAAAACAATAACCAGGAAATGTTCATTGTTATGCACTGATTTTAATCCTATCATATAAACTACTTTTATTGCAATCAGATTCAAATAAATTTATTAAATGCTCTTGATGTGCATAATTGCTATTGAGATGATGATGATGATGATGATTATTTTTGGTTGTTCTGGATATTGAACCTAGGGCCTTGTGCATGCAAGGCAATCACTCTATGATCTGAGCTATATCCCCAGACCAAGATTAATTTTTAAAAAGTTTTTCAGCTTGGATTTCAATCTGTTACCTATACTTGAAAATATCCCTTTGAACTGTTTAAAGATCTCTGTATATGTTATTCTCTTCCGCATATTATTGTAGTATGTTAGCTTCCCACTACTGCAACAAAATACTTAAGATAATCAACTTACAAAGAGAAAAAGGTTTGTTGGGATTCATGGTTTTGGAGATTTCAGTCCATGATCAATAGGCTCTTTTGCTTTGGGGTCTATGTGGCAGCACATCATAGTGGGAAGCTCCTGGCAGAGTAAAACTGCTTACCTCATGGCTGGGACTTGAAAGGAGAGGTAAATGAGGCGAATGGATTTCCACAAAGCCCTTTGAAGGCAAGTCCCAACAACTTAAAGACCTCCAACTAGTACCCACCTCTTTAAAATTTTCACACTCTCCACAAATACTATGCTGAGGACCAAACCTTTACCAAATGGACCTTTGGAAGACAATTAAGATCCAAACACAGCAGGTATTATTTGTCTTCCTCACTCCTGCCTTTCAATAATTGAAAACATTGTCACTTAATATTTATCTTCCTTTTCTGTAGTTTAGCCTTAGCCCCATAACAAATCCAACAGATTTGAAGGACCTTTAGAAATTGTCAAACTGAAACAGAAAGATAGAAACAAACGTAACCAGTTTATTAAGTATGATAATGG